GACGTCTTCTAATGGATTAGGGCCGCAAAATTGTGATATAAATAATGTTCTCTGTGCAAACTATCAGAATTATCTCTCCAATGGTTGAGAAATATTTATAAGTATCCAAAATGAATTTTAAATGATCTTCAGTCAAAAATAAACACCAAACGGTCTCTTTATTCAGCGAGAATTCAAATGAGTGGAAAAAACTCACCTTTCTGGTAACTGTTGACCTCTTTATGATGGCTGCTAACAATTCCCTTATCGGAAAATGTACTGTTAATCTGCAGGCTCTGCTGAAATTTGATCAGAAACGATGGTTTTCTTATCGGCAAGGTAATTTGAATATACTTTGTTATAATTCAGGACTTTTTCCAGGTTTTTAAAATACTTTTGAAAAATTGTGACTGCTGAAAAATCAAAAATTTCTGGACTCCTTCGTAACTATTGATTTTCTATCTTCTTATTTTTCATTGCTTACCAGATCTCCAAGCATTTTGACAATGTTTTTAAAGATCTGACAGGATTTTTGTATATTTTTGACATTAATGATTAAAATAAAATATATTTTAAATTTTAATAAATTGTTAAATCTTGAGAACTATATTGACTTTTGAAATGAATTGAAACAAATACTAGAGAATTTAAGCTTTCTTTTGGCATATAATTTCTACAACAAATGATAATTTAAATATTAAAATTTTTACTAACAAATTTGACATACACCAATTTTAACATGAATTAGTTGCTTTTATTTTGCTTTTATTTAATTTTAAAGCTATCTGAAAGCACTTTTGATATTGAATCACTGAGAATTGTCTTCAGATTACCTGTCCATTAAAGATTATATCATTCTGAACTCTTATTTATGAGCTATATCCTATTTCACCTCCTAACACGTTTTATTTTCCGAGCTCTACCCATGTTAACTGTATGTTTACTAACAAATTGAAACTTCTTACTTTGTGAATAAATGACTTAAATATTTTATCTATTTTAGGACTGTTGAAGATTCTATTGACTTGTATATATTAGAATTTGGATTATAATAAAAAATGAAATTAATTAATAAATACAAATTTATGGTTTTTATTTCCACTCGATCCGAAGTGGTTTGATATTTGCTTTTTGTATCGTTATGTTGTGGCTATATTGGCTTATTCTGTAAGTATCTCTTACATAAATAATATAATATATATAACGAACAATAACTTAAGTTTAAATAATAATCAATTTCATGATCAACAATTGTTTTTGGTTTAATTTTTTTATATATATATTTTTTTTTTTAATTGAAAAGTGTTTATCAACCAACTATAACTCAGTGGCTACAATAACTCACGTATTAAAAGAATCTTATTTCTATTATGCTAAATTTGTTTATAATAAACCAACTGGTTTTAATTATAATAATAATAAAATTATTTTGAAAACATTATTAAATCTGGTGATACAATATAGTCGTTATTGGTTTGTTACATGTCTGTGAATTCTGCTTATTTTTGCTTTTAGTTTCTTTCTTATTGTTGAATCTAGTTTCAACTATTAAATAAACAACAATAATACAATTGTTTGAGTTAAATAGATATGTGGTATATTCAATATTGTCATTTTGTTTTATGTTCATACTATTCATATAAAAAAAATGTTTAGGAGCTTTAATTTCATAACAATTCTCCAAAAAATTAATATTTCATATTTGACAAGTTTCTTGGCAAATATCAAATATTCATTTTTCTTTGACTGGTTTTTGCAAGTTGTGTGATTGTTTCTCTGAACGTCGATACAAGTGTATGTTTCAGTGATTTTATGAATGTGTGAATGACAATTATGCTGCAGATATGATTTATGAATGACAATTATGCTGCAGATAGTTTTGAATGCTCTCTTTAAAAAAATAATAATTAGTTTTGTTCTTTTAATTTTGCATGTGTAAGCTTAGGTCGCTTTAGTTTGTTTTATTAATGCATGTTTTATTTTGAATATATACAAAAAAATATAGAGTTTAAGTTTTATTTAAGCACGTGTGAGCTGAATTTTGTGGTTAGAGTGTAAGCTAGTTTGAATGTGACTTTATTATCATTCGGTTATTTTTAATAAGTTTTCGTTGAGGGTTAAGTTTATATTCTACTTTTGAATCCATCTTATAGTTGTTTTTCTTGCTTGGTTTCTTAGAGTTCTGCCATCTTTGTTTCAAATTTTTCCTCTCCAATCCTTCTTCTGTAATTCCATTCCAAGTTTTATTATTATACTGCATAATTATATCATTATAATCTTTCATAATTCATCATAATTCATATTACAGTAGTCTCTCTTTATAACGATTCTCTATATTACGATAATTCCTCTATAACGATGAAAATAGTAAACGTTGGTTGGTCCGTCATAAGAACAATGTATTAATTCTTTCTCTATACCGATATCGTTCTCTCTTTATAGCGATGATTTTCAGCGTTCAATAGTCGATAACAAAATTGTGTTATTTTATTTAAAGTTCAGACTACGTCAGTCACGAGTGGCAAGGTCATTGTCCAGCGGTTGTTTACTTTTGCGAGTTGTGTCTTAGTCAGTCAATATGTTTTCAAAAAAGCCTAAAGTGCTCTCGGTACAGGAAAAGTTATCGACAGCTCAAGCAATTGGATGTCGTTCGCCGTACGGAGCTATCTCAGTTAACTGTGGCTCCGATATGGAAGGACAGAAAAAAGTGGCTTGAAGCGGAGATGAAGGGCAATAGCAGGAAGAAGTTGCGGAAACCTCAGTAGCAGCGTATGCACCATATTCCACTTTCTGGGCTGGACAAAAGCTGAGTTCTTTGCAACTGAGCATGGAATTGAGAATTTTAAGGCATCTGAGGGCTGGCTGAGCCAGTGGAAGCTGCGGCACAAGATCTACAACTACGGGCAAATCTGCGGAGAAGCTCGCGATGGTAACGGATGATTGGCTAGAAAACGTGTGGCCTGGACTAAAGGCACGATATGCGTCAGACGACATTTTCAATGCCGATGAGACTGGTTTCGATGTTAATTTAAAAACATAAAAAAATCTACGGGTGACCTAAAAAGCAAACACCAGCGTGTGGATGACTGCGGAAATTTTTGAAGAAACGATAATAAAGTGGGATAATGAAAAGTGTAAAGGGAAAAAATTCTTCTGCTTGTAGACAATTGTCCTGCTCATCCTGTACTGTGCGACCTTTAAAACATTGAACTTTGCTTTCTGCCAGCAAACACAACGAGTGTCCTCCATCCCATGGACCAAAGTGTCTTCAAGAGTTTGACAAGCTATTACAGGAGAAGACTTTTGATGAAATTGGTTGAGAATAATTTCGATCTTAAACAAAACATTCTTGACGCCATCCTAACGATTAGTAAATCTTGGGACGGGGTGACGAGCAATACAATAAAACATTCCTTCAACCACACAGGATGGCTGGAAGATCAAGGATTGACTGATGATGAAGATGACCTGCCATTAGATGTTTGGGCCAGACAGTTGGAACTTACTACCACCTACGGACCGGAAGAGCTAAACAGATTTTGAAGAAGTTAATGAAAATGTAGCTACAACATCTGTACTTTCTGACGAGGACATCCTACAAGCAGTTCGTGTAGACGAAGAAGAATACAGTGACCCGGAAGTGGAGGCAGAGCCAGAACCAGCTCCGAGCCTTCAGCAGGAAACCAACGTCAGTCTCAAATCTTTATAAAGTACCGGATTTTGCAGAACCCTCAACACGCAGAGGCGTTGCAGAGCACATAGAGAAAATTAAACAGATTGCGGACGAGCGGCATGCCTTATACAAGGCTCGAACACCACGAAATCGACTAAAATCCAGGAAAAGATTCCTTGGAACAGTGCAGTATGAATCGGCTGGTATCACTAAACATGGTAAAATAGGGAAAGATAGGCCAAGATAATGTGAATTGTGACTGTGGAGAAGCACAGAATATGGAACATCTTCTTACATGCAGAAACATGCAGAAATTTATGGCTCGCCAACAAAGATGGAACCGACGTAGACCGATAATTGGCCGAAATTTTATGAATGACATGAATGTCCGGACACGATAAAAAAAAGCAGGCATTGAATGCGGAAACGTACTGCCTCGATTCTTCATCCATCAAGAAGAGTGCTGTGGAAGATTCTATGTGTCTTTATTACATGGTCAGGTCAGTTCTGTGGAAAGGGAAAAGGAAAAAGACCAAGGTGACAGACTTCTTTGGTAATGTAGGCTAAATATATTTTACAGTAGTGTATTATTTTGTTATTGTACAGTACAGATGTTTTAATTGTACAGTCATTTTTTTATACTGTATTGCTTATATTATTCTTTAATAAATCTATGTAGTGTACAATACAGTGTTAATTCATTTATATTCGTTTTGATAAATTCGTTTATTAATATTACAGTACCGAATTTTCTCTCTCTCTCTCTGTATAACGATCTCTCCTTATAACGATGAAAATTCCTGGTCCCTTGCATATTGTTATAGAGAGAGAGGACTGTATATTATATATCATATTCATAATCATAATATCCGCAATAATTCATATTTCATCATATTTCATAAATAGCCGCATTATTATTATTATTATTATTCCATCTTCTGTATCCCATTCATGTCCTTTATTAATATAAAAATTAATTGTTTCATTTTATAAATATAACTTAAAATTAATAATGTCTTCTTATTTCTTCACTTATTGTTCATATTTGTAAATGTCTTTTATGTTAAAAACTCCTCTGAGATACCCACTCTCAGGAAATTTCAATAAATAACTATTTTCTCCATCTTCTGTTTGAACTTCATAAGGTCCCTCCAATGGTGGTAAAAGTTTGTTACAAATGTTATCTCTATAATTGCTTACCCTATGTGCTCTAATTAATACTAGTTCTCCTTTTTGATACCCTGAATTAAAATTAACCCTTGCAAATTTTGATTTTTCTTTTCTTCCCCAAATTTTATGAACTCCCTTGGATGCTCATAGTGACATACGGCCGCATTTAGCAGGTGCTTTATTGAAAATTTGGTGATTGTGAATCTGTTGTGTATTGTGTGTCAAAGGGTTGTGATGGTGATGATGTGTTGAGTGTTTCAATTGGTGACTCTTGTTGACTGACGTCGGTGTATGATTGATGGTGACTTAGAAAATTCACTTGTCTTTTTTGGTTATTTCTATTTATATCTTCTAGACTTCTAGTGTTATGGTTTCGATTGTTTGTGTAGTTTTGATTTGACTGTTGTTGTGAATTGTTTGTTTGATTCTGTTGAATGGCACTATTTGAAAATGTGTGATTCATATTGCCATTGGAGTTAAAGTTTCTGTTGTTATTATTGTAATTATTTCTGTTAAAATTTCCGTTGTTTTCATTATTGTAATTACCGTTTTGATATCGTCCATTATTTCCATAGTTATTGTTGTTAGTTTGATTGTTACGATTATAGTTTTGGCGATTAAAGTTCTGATTATTTTGGTTGCGGTAGTTATTATTATTATTCCTAAAGTTCGAGTTATTATAGTTGTTGTTACCATTATTTTGTCTATAGTTATTGTTAAAATTACGATGATTATTGAAATTATTGCCGTTCTGATTATTGTTTCTGCTGTAGTTATTGTTCCCATTGAAGTTGTTATTATTATTATTATTTGCTTGGTCATTGTTTTGATACATGGGATTTCGTTGCTCATGCATCATCAAAAATTGGCACAGTTTGTCTATTTCTTTAAAGTTGTATAACATCATGATATCTTCCAATGTCCGATCAAAGTGTTGCACGATACAACCCACAATGTATTCTTCGTTAAAACCACAGTCTAAGTATTGAGCTGTGCTGTAAATTTGCATGGCGTAACGGTGGTATGACATGCTACGATTTGGGTTGTATTTGCCACTTAACAGCTCGTTTTTGATTAAACGCTGTTGTGCTTGACCCCAGAAATATTCACTGAATTTGGTCGCAAAGTCTTCCAGATCCACCAACTCATTTTTTTTGTTCGAAAACCATAGTAACGCCTCATCCGTCATCTGGTTTCTGATGAATTCTTTAAAGTCTTCGAAATTTCTGTAAGATGCATATCTGTGCCTAAGGAATTTCATGAAAGGTACTGGATGCTGCTGTTTTATTCTTCCACTAAAATAGATTTTACAATCTCTTTCGACCGTTTGTACAACCGGCCTTGCATCCAATTCCTTCTGTGTCACTTCTTTAAGAGACTCTTGTATTCTCCCAATTTCTTTCTCCATTATCTCTTTGGTCTTTTTCATATTTTCATCTATTTCATCTTCTTTTTTCTTCCACTGTGCATTAATGTCTCGTCGAAATATCTCTTCCTTCTGCTCAATATGATGTTCCAGCTGTACTGCCAACACTCCCATTTGTTCGTCAACATCTTCGAACTTTTTTTGGTTATTTTGTTGTTCGAGCTTTAAATTTTGTTCCATTAATTCAATCTTTTTATTTTGAGTTTCATTATTCTTTTCCAGCTGTGCCGATAACACTTCCATTTGTTCTTTGCACTGCTCTTCCCTCTTGGCCATTTCTAGGGTTAACTCTTCTTTTACATCTTCTATCTTCTTTCCCAACTTATCCTCAACCTGTTGTGCGATCTGTTGTATTTTGTCGTCAAAACTTTTTGTTATTTCCCGTTTTATTTCTTTTTTTGTATCTTCAAGTTCTTTTGTCAACTTCTGAGTCATATCTTGTTTATTTTCTTCTGCTTTCTGGTTTATATTTTGCTCAATTTTTTTTATTTCCTGTAACAAAATTGCCATCATCTTGTGAAAGTCCGATTCATCCTTCTTTATGGGCTGAGCTTGGTCTCCACTTGCCATTTGCCTTTCCATTTGTGCTTCTTCTGGCTGTCTTTTCTCCTCCATCGTCTCCTGTACTTCTTCAGTCTCTTTAATTTGTTCTTTGGTTCTGTCTGTCACTTCCTGTTCTTCTTCTACGTTCTTATGTGATCTAGTCTTCCTTTTGTCCATGTTTATTTTTATTTAATTTCAATTCACTCAATAAACTTATTATCTACACAAATTATACTCTTCACACCCTGTATATTATGTTATTAAATGTTGTAAATATTTTTTTTTTTAAGGTACACCACTGGTTAATACTTTGTTATAATGCACTACCTGTCACCTTCCAAAGACACAGCCACACGTTGGGCTCGCCAAATTGTTAAAATATGTGAATCCGATGCAAGAAAACTACAAGTTGCTCTTATTTACCGGCTAGCTTTATGAAGATAAAAATAATTTTTTTTTTTTTTTTAAGTTGATTAATTTGTAATATTGATAAATTTAGAAATGCTTTTAATAAAAAATTATTGAACGCCTGAAAATATAAAAAAAATTGACAAACATTTATTCTACTCACCTTGTATTCTCTAAATCTCACAGGATACTGTTTGTTTATCTAAAGTATAGAAAGAAACGTGCTGTATTTTGAATTTAAAATTTTACTTATTTTTCTTAGAACATGCAGACTCTTAACTCAAGCGAGTTCTGTGACCTGTAGTGCTTGATAAAGAAATACAAAATTATATAAAGCAAAAATCACCACACAAGAAGTTTTATTTTTAATGTACTGTGCAATTATTCACAAGTGATCAATTAAATATTACACAACAATATCTTGTATAATATATAAAAAAAAATTATTTAAGATTCTTCCAATAAATAAGCCAATACTTAACCGTTTAATACTAATATGAATGGATTTAGATTTATGACGTAATACAATATTGAAGTAAGTACATGAAATTAGTGTTTTGTGAAGTTGCAACAAGAAATGCTTGTTCTAATACGTGTTTGTTTGTCAAAGTATTTATAACCTCACTCACTATCTTTTTAGAGCGAAAACAAAGGTTTATAATCCTTCAATTTTTAGTTTAATATCGATTAACTGTTTTGTTTAATGATTTTAGGAAGCAAAAGAAACGGCGAATTATATTTGGTTAATATTACAAAAGCGATAATAAAATTTTTTTGTGAACTTGACTTCAAATTATTTTTTTTTAACACAAAGATGATTTAGAATGATATAGGCTGTTTAAAAAGGTAAGATTATTTCTAAAGAAATTTCAAAACTTGCGTTTAACTTTATTAAAGTTCACTTCCGTCTTTCAGATAATCCCTTCTCTGAAAATTTTATGGAAATCTTCAATACAGTGACGTCTTCTAATGGATTAGGGCCGCAAAATTGTGATATAAATAATGTTCTCTGTGCAAACTATCAGAATTATCTCTCCAATGGTTGAGAAATATTTATAAGTATCCAAAATGAATTTTAAATGATCTTCAGTCAAAAATAAACACCAAACGGTCTCTTTATTCAGCGAGAATTCAAATGAGTGAAAAAAACTCACCTTTCTGGTAACTGTTGACCTCTTTATGATGGCTGCTAACAATTCCCTTATCGGAAAATGTACTGTTAATCTGCAGGCTCTGCTGAAATTTGATCAGAAACGATGGTTTTCTTATCGGCAAGGTAATTTGAATATACTTTGTTATAATTCAGGACTTTTTCCAGGTTTTTAAAATACTTTTGAAAAATTGTGACTGCTGAAAAATCAAAAATTTCTGGACTCCTTCGTAACTATTGATTTTCTATCTTCATATTTTTCATTGCTTACCAGATCTCCAAGCATTTTGACAATGTTTTTAAAGATCTGACAGGATTTTTGTATATTTTTGACATTAATGATTAAAATAAAATATATTTTAAATTTTAATAAATTGTTAAATCTTGAGAACTATATTGACTTTTGAAATGAATTGAAACAAATACTAGAGAATTTAAGCTTTCTTTTGGCATATAATTTCTACAACAAATGATAATTTAAATATTAAAATTTTTACTAACAAATTTGACATACACCAATTTTAACATGAATTAGTTGCTTTTATTTTGCTTTTATTTAATTTTAAAGCTATCTGAAAGCACTTTTGATATTGAATCACTGAGAATTGTCTTCAGATTACCTGTCCATTAAAGATTATATCATTCTGAACTCTTATTTATGAGCTATATCCTATTTCACCTCCTAACACGTTTTATTTTCCGAGCTCTACCCATGTTAACTGTATGTTTACTAACAAATTGAAACTTCTTACTTTGTGAATAAATGACTTAAATATTTTATCTATTTTAGGACTGTTGAAGATTCTATTGACTTGTATATATTAGAATTTGGATTATAATAAAAAATGAAATTAATTAATAAATACAAATTTATGGTTTTTATTTCCACTCGATCCGAAGTGGTTTGATATTTGCTTTTTGTATCGTTATGTTGTGGCTATATTGGCTTATTCTGTAAGTATCTCTTACATAAATAATATAATATATATAACGAACAATAACTTAAGTTTAAATAATAATCAATTTCATGATCAACAATTGTTTTTGGTTTAATTTTTTTATATATATATATTTTTTTTTTAATTGAAAAGTGTTTATCAACCAACTATAACTCAGTGGCTACAATAACTCACGTATTAAAAGAATCTTATTTCTATTATGCTAAATTTGTTTATAATAAACCAACTGGTTTTAATTATAATAATAATAAAATTATTTTGAAAACATTAATTAAATCTGGTGATACAATATAGTCGTTATTGGTTTGTTACATGTCTGTGAATTCTGCTTATTTTTGCTTTTAGTTTCTTTCTTATTGTTGAATCTAGTTTCAACTAATAAATAAACAACAATAATACAATTGTTTGAGTTAAATAGATATGTGGTATATTCAATATTGTCATTTTGTTTTATGTTCATACTATTCATATAAAAAAAATGTTTAGGAGCTTTAATTTCATAACAATATATATATATATATATATATATATATATATATATATATTATATATATATATCAAAACCGGTAGGATCATCGACCGAAACGTAAATAACAATTTATTGTCTTGGTGTATCGGGTATGCGGTCTGTAATTTAAAAAAATAAAAACTCTTTTTTTCTTTTAATTCTCTATATTTCGCTGATTTTTTGTCAGCTTCATCAGGAGATAAACATTTAGAGTTAAAAGTATTTAAAACAGTAGTTGTACGTAATATGTTCAAAACAGTTTTTTTTTTACATTATTTGAACATACTAAGAATATTACAGTAGATATTGCTCAACTGTCCCGTGTCTGCCTTGTAATTTACTGCATTGTTTTCTCTATTTATATGACACATTTCCAAAAACTTTTTTTTTTGTAATTATTTTCTTGCTATAGATCCCTGACATTTGAATAGTCAAATTGATGACCAGTTTTTAAGTGATGGTCAACTTCCGCACATGTATTCTTTTGTTTTGTGCAGTCACTTTTGTGTTGTGTGACCCTTTGTTTTAGCCATTGAGAAGTTTGGCCAATATAACAGTTCTGGTAATCCAAACAAGGCAGTTTGTAGATAACATTAGTTTTATTTACAGTTGGTGTCTTGTCTTTTACTTTAGAAAACAGTTGTCGGTTTTCTAATAAATTATATTGGACAATTTTAATGTTAGTAAATTGTTTAAATAAACTAGTCACAGAAGGAGTCAATTATTTTATTAATGGTAGTTTCTTATATTGTATTGCCTGTACTGCTCCGATCTCAGTGGGACCGTCAAAATGTCTGAGTTAAATATCAATTTTTTAAGGATATGTTTTGGGTATCCATTATTTGTCTCCTGATGAAGCTGACAAGAAAAAAGAGTTTTTTTAATTACAGACCTCATACCCGATACACCAAGACAATAAATTACAATTAAATATATATAAGGAAATGAAGCCTTTAGGACATTCAAAAATTGAACGAATTTGACTAATTAACCTATAAAAAACCTTTAATTGAATGAAATGAAAATTGATGTGTTATTTGAAACTTTTAATAAAAGGAATCTCAACTATACCTATTCTATGGAATATCTCCTTGTTTCTCGACTTCACGTTGTTTCCGTATTTTATACCGTATAAGTAGCTTTTTAAATAGTTATTGCAATCATTAGAAGGTTGATTATAATAACTGAATTGGAACTAAGTAACAGAGTGCTAAATAATTTTGAAACTTTATCAACTGACTCAATGTGACAAGCGGTAGGAAGATTAGAACTCGTTTTATATTCACAGTAAAATGTAAAACTTTGTAACTACCTTATTATACAAAAGCCATTTGGTCAGATCACTAAAAGCTGTAGCAAAGCAATTAAAAACATAATATCCTTTTTTATTAGTTTCTACAAATTGGTTATTACTCGAAATACATAAACCTATACAAATTTGTTACATTGTAAGCAATTTTTACAATAAAATAAGTCGTTTTAAGTGCGTTATGGGCAAATGGTTCATTTTATATTTCCAATGGAAAATAGGTAGTTTTATTTCTAAATTTGATGTGCACATGCCAAAGTTGTGTCGTTACAGGAGTCTTATCGCATTTATCGACGCTTAATGATTGCGTTCACTGCAGGACTTTGCTAGCGCAATAAAATCGGACGATCTCACAGTGGATTTTTAAATATTAATATAGTAAAATCATTTCAATGTGTACACCTTTGATCTGTATCAAACAGTAACACAGTGAGTTTTAAAAATTAACAGGCGACAAAGGCACAACTCTACCTTAATTTATATTTTGTTAAGAATTTCTTCAATTAGAAATTACATAATTTAAATGTAGAATGTTTATTAGTATTGCCAAATTTAAATGCTGTTTCAGAATATAACACTGAAAACTTTTGCTTTCTACACTTAAAATTTCTACAAAATTATTATTTTGGTTTAATTAATGGCTTTAGATAACTTGATCCATTCAGCCACGATAATGTAATTGACTACTTGAATTTGTTAATGATGTATTGACGTATCACATTTGTTAACAGAATAGTACTTGGCCTAGAGGTAAATTAAAAATGTATTGTAAACATCAGTATCACAATAATAAGTAGATTGACAAGAACCATACTTTCTTCTTCTTCTTCTTCTTTCGTCTTA